AATTATCTGTCTCTATATCTCTCTATCTGCAATCATCTCTCCGCTTTATTTGCCAGGCTTATATACAAAAAATAGAGGGCGCCTGGAAAATCCTTCTAAAAACTCCAGCGCGCATACTTCCAGCGTCGCGTGACTTCCACTGTCGTAACAGTATTTTATTCTACTTATATATATATTTATATCAGTCTATAACTTATGTTAGGCTTAGAAACTGATAAGTAGATAAATAAAATTAAAATTAAAATTTGGAATGCCTTAGATTTATTAGTGTGTTTTTAACAAATGCTTCTTTCAACGGGCAAAAGCTTTTTTTTGTTAAGTGTTTTGTTTTATGATAGAAGTATTAATTGCAAAAAAGAAATTAAAGTCACCCACTGCAACGTGTGTTAGTTATAATGCTGCGTTAATCCAGCTTTGTTCAAATCTTCATACCTTCTTGACATGTAAAGTCATCATTTCGAAAACATTTGTGAGTTAATATAATTTATATGTAGTTTTCATCTTAGCATAAAATATCTTATTGTATTTTGATAAAGATCAATGCATTACTGGAAGATCTCGGTCTTGGAGAAGTTAAACATACACGAGTCCGAGATATTACAAAATCTGAAAAATGTCGGCTTAATGTGGCTTGTCAGCTTCTTCTAAATACAGGTAGGTGGCAGCATAATGCCATAGGTTTGATATTACGAAATGTAATTAACTTGTTTTTATAAATAGTTGTATTTCTTTTATAAATCATTATTAATTTTTATCTTAAGAAGTTTAATGCCACTTATAGAATTATAAATAACTGCATGATGAAGCAACAACAAAATAATCTCTTTCGCCAAAGACTTAGCAAATAATAAATAAGTTAATCTGTATAACGTATAAAGACGAGATTAAATAAAGTTAATTTGTATAACGTACAAAGACGAGATTAAATAAGTTAATTTGTATAACGTACAAAGACGAGATTAAATAAGTTAATTTATGTAACGTATAAAGACGAGATTAAATAAGTTAATTTATATAACGTATAAAGACGAGATTGAATAAGTTAATTTGTAAACTTTTCTTTTTAAATCGACCTGACAAGATTTACACATTGGTTACTTCAGATATCGTGCTATTGGATCAACCCTTGAAAGACATGGACATCTTTGACACCTTCTTTCTAGTGGAATACCTTCGCCAATGGGCTGCAAGTGGGCGTATTGTTGTTATTACCCTCCACCCACCGACATATGAAATATTTTCCATGATTTCAAGGAGTACTGATATTTCTTTGCCTAATTTGTGCATTTGTATTGAGTTTTGTGAATGTGTTAGTTGTAAATTATGATAGCAAAGTAAACTGTAAAATTACATCAATATATATAATGATATAAAATTATGTAGAAAGTTGTGAATTAGGTCCCATCTGTTCTTTAGGTAGTGACGAGTTGTGAATTAGGTCCCATCTGTTTTTTAGGTAGTGAAGAGTTGTGAATTAGTACCCATCTGTTTCTAGGTAGTGACAAGTTGTGAATTACGTCCCGTCTGTTTTTTAGGAAGTGACGAGTTGTGAATTAGGTCCTATCTGTTTATGAGGTCGTGACGAATTGTGAATTAAGTCCCATCCGTTTGTTTAGGTAGTGACGAGTTGTGAATTAACTCCTATCTGTTTATGAGGTCGTGACGAGTTGTGAATTAAGTCCCATCTGTTTTTGAGGTAGTGACGAGTTGTGAATTAAGTCCTATCTGTTTATGAGGTCGTGACGAGTTGTAAATTAGGCCCCATCTGTTTTTAGGTAGTGACAAGTTGTGAATTAGGTCCTATCTGTTTATGAGGTCGTGACGAATTGTGAATTAAGTCCCATCTGTTTGTTTAGGTAGTGACGAGTTGTGAATTAAGTCCTATCTGTTTATGAGGTCGTGACGAGTTGTGAATTAAGTCCCATCTGTTTTTGAGGTAGTGACGAGTTGTGAATTAGGTCCCATCTGTTTTTAGGTAGTGACGAGTTGTGAATAAGGTCCCGCCTTTTTTTAGGGAGCGACGAGTTGTGAATTAGGTCCCTGTATCTTTTAGGTAGTGACGAGTTGTGAATTAATACCCATCTGTTTTTAGTTAGTGACGAGTTATGAATTAGGTCTCATCTGTTTTCAGGAAGTGACGATTTGTGAATTAAGTCTCATCTGTTTTTTAGGAAGTGACGAGTTGTGAATTAGTACCCATCTGTTTTTTTTTTAGGTAGTGACGAGTTGTGAATTAGGTCCCATCTGTTTTTTTAGTTAGTGACGAGTTGTGAATTAATACCCATCTGTTTTTTAGGGAATGACTTATTAGTTTTTGTACAAACAATTTAATTAAAGTCAAGAAGAGAGTAACGGATATCAGTTCAATTTAACGAATTATTAATTACGAAAATAAAGTAATTGAGTTTGTAACACAAAAAATACTTTATTAAAATTTGAGAAACAATAAAATGGTTTTTATTCTGTTTAGCGACCACTTTACCTAAACTGGTGATTTTTGTGCCTTATGTATTTATTTTGATTTAATTGTACGCTTTCCTATAACTATTTTAACAACTATTAGTTTTTATTACGTTAGTTTTCATTTTCTTATTAAGCATTAAATGTTTTTGCAACTTTCTTGTTATCTTAATGTAGTTTCGCAGTTTGTGTTAGTTGTAAAATCGTTGTCCCATATTATTTCAACTCTGTATTCCAAATCTCGTATTTGAGTTGTTTATTGTTTTGTTTCACCCTGTACGTGGTTCTGTTTCTAACTATGCTATTTATCATTGACGCTGTATTTACAATTGGTTTTATAATCCTATTTATCAAAAATGATTTTATTCGAGTATTCTATTAACAAACCTGTATATTTTCTTTCTGTTGTTCTTCATAATATTGTACTGTTCTTTGTTATATAGCTGCCTTGATTTCCATGGGCAAAATGCTATACTTTGGCAAGAGGAAAGACATGCTACCGTACTTCGCTTACATCAATTTTCCTTGTCCAGCCTACAAGAATCCGTCCGATTACTACTGTAAGATTATTTTACACAATTACTCTCTTACTACGATAATAATTTAATAATCAGGGCCTTAAGATATAGTTGTAGTTGTCATCATTGTTACTAGCCAGCTTCTAACAGATAGAAAGTGGGGAAATAATCAGATCAAAGTGTTTTATCGTTGCTTGGCTACGTTCTTCATCGCATTACTGAATTAATTAATCACTTGAAAAACTTCCAATAAGAGATAGAAGAAAATACGTCATGCTCTATCATAAATGTATGTGAACATCCCTTTAACATGTGAATGTCCCACAAACTATGCTCTTTAAAGCCATCATCGAATGTATATACAGAGACGCATTCTTAGCTAAGTAAAGTGGTAGAGAAGTGTTTCAAGAATTTAAAACTTCATGAATAAAGTGAGTTTGGATAGATGATATTATAGATGACGGAAACTATAAAAAAGCGTCAAACAACCGAGTGACAATTTACAAATATGAGAAACTTGGATTTGTTTGTTTGTAACTAAGCACAAAGCTACACAATGGACTGTCTGGGCTGTGCCCACCACGGGTATCGAAACCCGGATTCTAGCGTTGTAAGTCCGCAGACATACCTCTGTGCCATTGGGGGGCGAGGAACTTGGAAGTGCTACGTATGTACAAATTTTCGAGTTGATAAAAAAACACTGTAATAACGAAAAAACCTTCCATTAAGATTTCTGTAAATATAAATCATTTTATCAACACTAATTTCAGAAACGTTGTACATTTGCTGTTATATTAAAGTTTTTCTTCATTACCCATTCAAGCCGTCTCCAGCCATTATTAGTCTCAAAATGGGTTCCTCGTCATCGAATTTGAATTTCAGAGAGACTTTACAGTATGGCCGCATGTGAACTCACATTCATTTCTGTGAAAATTAGTACTTTTAAAAGGATAAATTGGTCTATTTAGCCTGGTGTCGAGCACTTTGACATCACTTGGTCGCAAACTTTGCGGAATGATGACAGTCACTTCTCCAAGTTTCTAACTGATTGCTGAGTCCAGAGGAATAAAGTGAATGAAGCGTTGATGGTTGAATTGTACCAAGTGTGATGACATCTATGAATATCGAACTATCTTAAATTAATACTTTAGATAACGTGTTGTGGTTCTGTAAGCAGGCCAATATGTTGTCCCAGAGAAATAAGTACGATCCATATCTGATTTCAAAGTAGCAATTTCAAGGTCTTGGAATAACTACACTCCGAACTTTAATCCTTTGTAACAATTTTGGGTCACCTGGAGGAGATAATTCAAATTTGCCATCGTTATCAATTGGTCGAACTTTTAAAGCATCAGTGAAGATAGATGACACTATAAACGTGTCATAATTCAGTCGGTAATATGCCTGATAGAATAGCAGAAGACAAAGGACTATGTTATAACGTCTTTACCCAGTAACCATTAGTTTCCAAGATACTTTTGATAAAAGTATAAGATAATAATCGGATAGATGACGCTAAGAGGAAGTTTTATGAACAGGATAAATTGGTTTTTTGGACATTCTAAATGGATTCTCTGGTTCGACATTATCAGTGTCTCTGAAATGGAGAATAGTGTGTATTGTGTGGTTTATTTTTAAGAGGAAACATAAAATTCACGCTGTGATCTGACAAGTTTCATTAAATGAAATACTAACATCGTGTTTTCTAGATTTGTAACACTAAGTGATTATGTTTAGACAAGTCAGAAAAAAATGCGATACATATAAAAAATAAAGGAATTTAATTGGAACGAATTTATGTTGGTTACTTGTGGATTTGGATGCGATACATTTAGAAAAATAAAGGAATCTAATTGGAACGAATTTATTTTGGTTACTTGTGGATTTGGATGAGATACATTTAAAAAATAAAGGAATCTAATTGGAACGAATTTATTTTGGTTACTAGTGGATTTGGATGAGATACATTAAAAAAATAAAGGAATCTAATTGGAACGAATTTATTTTGGTTACTAGTAGATTTGGATGTGATACATTTAAAAAATAAAGGAATCTATTTGAAACGAATTTATGTTGGTTACTAGTGGATTTGGATGAGATACATTTAAAAAATAAAGGAATCTATTTGGAACGAATTTATTTTGGTTACTTGTAGATTTGGATGTGATACATTTAAAAAATAAAGGAATCTATTTGG